TTTATCCTGCTTTGTAATTTGTTATCGTGACAGGTCTAATAGGAGAGACTACAAAATCTTACTTTTGGTGTGTGTGGAGAAGCTGTTTCAATGTGGCCGTATAGGAGGCAGACTCAGAAAACGAGACACAATTCCCACAAGACGAGACGAGATACAAGATTGGGTCAAGTTTTTAAGATAATTCCTAATATAGAAATTTCACAATTCAATATCCAATTTTGGCCTCACAGTTTTTTTATTTGAGTTCATATTTTTCTTTCCATTTTAATACTTGTTTTGGAGGTGTAAAAGATCTAACTAACCAATACTTAACCTTTTTTGTGCAATCCATATGTAAAGACTTGGGAAAAAAAGTCTCACAAGATAATTTTTCTCATTTCTCAAGATCTTGTGGCAATTTTGTCTCACGAGATCTTGTACCATCCCTAGTAATTAAGTTATTTTACGTTAACGCCGGGAGTTGATTTTAGTTTTTCTGAAGTCTGCCTCTTAATTCAAACAAAAGGGGGCAGCTTCCCCACAGTGTATAAAGAAATCTATGCCATGTGAAAGAGACGCGGTTCCTCAGGGCATCTGGGAGAGGTCCAGCAGAGCGAGACAGTGTTTCCTTTTTATGCTCCTCTTCTATGGAACACACTTCTCCAACACTTAAAGGGCCCATCTCATGCAAAATCACTCTTTTCACATTGTATCTTCTGCACATATACAAACACAATTTGGGTTTTGGAACATCCATTACACAATAGTTCTGAAATCTTACTGATTTCTTGGAGAAAGTCACAGACCAGGAACTATGAAAGACCGACTATTGCTCATCCCCCCGCCCGTCCTGAGAAAGCACAGGCTCCGCCCTCCAAACGTGACGTAGGCGACGAGTGAGCCACCCTTCCTCTGCCCATCTCAGGGAGGGAGGGGGAGACAGACGTGCACCCTGATAGTGGTAGAAATAAACTTTTATTCATCATGGTGATACAGCGCGTTAAGCCACATGTGTTGGACCCGGAATCGGACGAGGACTTTGAGGAGCACGAAGCTCAAGCACCATGTCCACATCAACTGAACATTACTGATGGGTAAAGTATTAATAAAAGCTAGTAGCTTATGCTTTTAGCTTATGCTGTCGCTTTTGATTAGGTGTTCATGTGGGAATTAGGGATGGGCATGATTAGTCGATTAATCGATAATTGATCATTAAGAATTTCATCGATTACGTTCATTTTAATCGACAAACCGAATGTAGGTTGCTGTATGTAGCGTAGAGTGACCAAACAGGGGTCCGTACATGTGTCTCTCTGCACTCTGAAGGAGCGAGACACAAGCAGTCGGTCAGTCTGCAACGTGCCAAAGCGTAAATGTGTATTTAACGATGACTTGTACAAGAAATTCCACGCTTTCCTTTCCGGTTGGGACAAGTGTGAGGCCATGTGCACAGTGTACAAAACAGGCACATATGTTTCAGTGTCCAGTGGGAAAAAGCTCACCAGGACACCGAAAACATTCAAAAGCTTTACCAGGTGAGAGTAGCGCAATGTCCTCACCTCCCACCCCCCGTACGGTGTCCTGGTTTTGACAAACGCAAATATGGTTATTCTAACCTATATTCCAGGAGCTGTTTTTTTTTTTTCTTTGCGTAGTTTATGCAAATTAACCATGTGGTTTTAAGTTTTGTTTCTGTGAGAGTTGCGCAAAGCTGCATTAAACACATTATAATGTCAAACAAGCTGATGTGGCTCTGCAGATTAGTAGTGCAGATAGTAATAATAATGATGATCATTTTAATATAAAAATGTTAAAGATTAATCGATAATCGATCGTTAATTCTCCTGACGACCGATTAAATTTTATCAAATGCCCATCCCCAGTGGGAACTGTCAGCTGATGCAGGGCGGAGGCAGTGGAGCAGGGGAGGGGGGCGGGTGCAAAACGTATTCTGCTACGTCAAACGTGTCATAGGTGTAGCTGCCACATCATCGTTGTAGCAGCTTTAGTTCATTGTCATGTGGGAGGGTGGCAGAAATGTGTTGCAATTTGTAAAAAAACAAAACAAAACGCAGAATCAATCTAAAACCCACTTTGGCGACATATACAAGGCCCATACATCACTCTTAGAAGGTAGAAAGCTCTGAAAAGTTGATTTTGCATGAGATGGGCCCTTCAACATCAGCTCCATCTAGAAATACTTTAATCTGGCCTTAACGCATTATTGTTTGCTTCAGCATTTACAGGAAGTTATGAGTGGTCATATTTTTAGGTATTTGTTACATTTTTATCTGTTTATCGTCTTGTACCATGAACTATTTGTAATTTATTCCCTTGTCTCCATTGTTCCTGTATTTGTGTCTGTGAAGCAGACACAAGTTGTTTATAAAAAACAATTTCACATTTTGTTTCCTTTAGGCCCCATCACAGGAGAAGATGCCAACCAACCACTCTGGTATCTGCTTTTATTCACACAAAAGCAAGTACATTTTCACTGCCTGGTTTGCGGTCTACCTGCTCCAGCTGCCCCTGTTTCTTTATGTGTTTCATATTGGCTACAAGCGATGGAGAAATCACTATTCTGCTTCTGTGAACAGCCACTCAGACATCATCACCTTCCACATGGTGGCGCTAGAGCTGTTCAGTATTGGGTTCACCTGTATGTATTTCACTGGCTTCTACAGCGGCCCCTCTTCTTGGTCCATAGTTGGACAAAGCGCTCTGTACCTGTGTCTGACAGGACAGGCTCTGTTCCACTCTCTCACCTGTGTGGAGCGCTACCTGGCCGTGGTTCAGCCAATCACATACCTCCGTTTGAAGAAAAGGGGCGGGGTCACCATCAGGAACGTCGGCATTGGCTGCATCTGGCTGTTCTGTTTGGGACATACTGGTTTGATAAATGTTGAATTTGGGTCACTTTATAACATCATTTCTTCATTCTCGATTGCAGTTTCATCTTTAATTGTTATTGGGTTTTGTAGCGTCTCAGTCATCTGTGTTCTGATTCGCCCAGGGCCAGGGGAAAGGGGCGGAGACAGGAGGATCCTCGACCAATCAAAACGCTTTGCTTTAGAAACCGTAGTAGCGATACTGGCAGTGTTGCTGTTGAGGATTCTTGCCTTCTTGATTATAAATGTCATGACAGTGGCTCTGCCCTTATCCACCCTTATGTGCCCCATCGTTTTTGGAGGTCTGTGGTTCTATCTGCCCAGCAGCCTGGTGCTGCCTCTGCTCTTTCTGCACAGAGCTGGAAAACTCACAGGTTTAAAGAAATGGAAGGTGAAAGTATCTGCCCACTAACAAGAAGGTGCCAGATTCAATCCAATCCTTACTGTAGTCATTCCTCACAATTCTTACATTTAGTCAGAGTTTGAGAACACTTTAATATAGCTGTTGTAAATTCCCTAGTATAACTGTTAGTTCAGAGACTGTTTAATTAGTTTGTGCATTCTTAGACCCCTTTAACACTAAAACAGATCCACGTATCACCGTATCAGAAACAATCTGCGTCCACACAAGTCGTTTCTGTGTCTGCAATCAAAGCCTTCCCTGTCCACACAGAAACGCAAAACCACCTGAAACGGCTAGTCACGTGATAGACTGGTGTCACGTCTTCACAACATCCCGACGTCACATGAGCGGTAAAAACAAGGAAGTCCGAAGATGCAGCAGCTGATTTTGAGGCGAGGGAGATGGCATGTGTAAAAACAGTCTTTTCGTGGACCAAGACGAGGTTCAGTTGTTACTTAGTGTAACACTGGATTTTATATTTGTTTATGTTTTACAGAAACTAAACTTAAAACCTCATGGCTAATTTGCATAAACTAAGTGCTCAAACAGCTCACTATTGTGCACTGATGTGGTTCAGCTTCTGTCGGACTAAAGGACACAACTCAGTGGAATATGAGTGTTCTTTCTGTCCCAGAGGGATGTTCTGTTGATGGTGAGTTTGTTCTGTGCTTCTATTGCTTTGGAGATGGTTCATGTTAAACTTTTCAGAAATTATAAGGTCTATACGTAGGATCATATGCCTAGATCGTTTATATGAATGGACATATATTCTAGCCTTTTAGCTTTTGGGCACCGAATTAGCTTGTTTGCATAGAACTACATCAGAGTATCAGAGTTTTCAGGCGTTCACACGGTGCCAGATCAGATCTTTACTCAGATGAATTCGTGGGAGTTGGCGGCACCAGATCGTTCCATCTCTGGAGCTGCTTTCAATCAGATTAGTGTGAACGAGCACTGCATCCACAACGAAAATGACTCAAATACGTACTAGTGTGGACGGGGCCTTAGGCAGCTCACGGGTCCTTGGGAGCACCAAAGTAACACCGTTACTGGTACCATGGCAACACTGTTACTTCTAGCCTAACTCCTGTAACTTCATTTCATTACCTGTAACCAATCCAAGTCCACATCTGTGATAGAGGTCTACTGTATGTTTCTTTCATTGTTCTGTAATGTTCTGATGCTAATTAGCTTTAATAACTTGATTAATTTACATATTTTGGATTGTTGATGTAAACTAACAATGTATGTGTCATTTCAGTTAGTAATATTTAAATGTTATGTTAATTTCATGTCTATTGTGATTTTACTTATGTTATATGTTCCAATGTATATGAATGTAAATCTTTACTTGCCCAAAATAAATATATAAATAAAAAAAATTAAATAAATAAATGTTCTTATAGATTACCAGACAGACAAGAAAGGACATTAAAGCTCTACAAATCCATTCAAGTGTCCTCCTTCTCCCTCTGACCGGAGTATTGTTTGGATGAAGTGTCCCAGCACATCGCTCACAGTCTACAGTCCTACCTATTCCCAATAATATTGAAATATCTAAGTGACAAAGATGAGTTAAAGGTGCACTGTGTAACAACATAGTCCTTCAAATTTCGTTATCATGACAGACCTATGAATAAGAAATATTGTAAATAAAATGTAGACCTCTCATCGAGTTTAAGGTGTTGGCTTCAAATGAAGATGTAAAAAATAAATACATTAAAAAAAAATCATCATTATAAGTTTTATTTTGACAGCTTTTCTTTTTTTTTTTACAGTGTGTGACTGCAAAGACTACCTTTAAATAATACAAATAAAAGTAGTTTCGTTGGTTTTATGGAGGGTTTGGTCAGAAGAGGAAGGGTCTTCAGATAATCGCTACATTCTTCAACAAATCATCGCCAGGACCAAGCTGAGCTGATTCAATTTCCAGCTAAAAAAAAAAAAAAAAAAAGAGCACTGTTACTCTATTTTCTTGTATAGTGGTGACTCAAATTGTTGCTCCACTGTGTTTTTAAAATCCATTCACCTTCACTAGAATCATTTGGATAATTTCAGTCCTGGAAATGCCAATTTAATCAATTTCAAGCAGATTAATGAACACAAGAAGCATACATGTATTTAGTACACTTAAAGTACTTTTCACATACCGGATTTTAAAACTATAAGTCGCACTTTTTTTCATGGTTTGGGCGTTTCCTGTGACTTATAATCCGGTGCAAGTTATATATTAAAATTTTACACTGACAGCAAGAGGCTCTAGTCTTGCGTGTGAGTATCTGCTGCTCCTGTTCCTCCTGTACCACTGTCACTTCACTCTACTGCACATGTCTCCTGCAGAAAGAGCCTCTGTCCGAAACCGAAACCATCCTGTCGGGATTCAGAAAGGCCTGAATAATTCTAACTGGAACTAATGCTGGTATATATACTTTTTTTTAACTGGAGCTTGAAAAGGAGCAGGAAGAATTAAACTTATTTAACTCTCAATTCAAAAGTGTGAATAAAACAAAACACAACTCCAGGTATGTTTTTTAAAATAGATTTGTTTCAGGTGTTTTTGTGGAGTGGGTAAGACTGTTTTTAGTGGCAGGATAACTATGGCCATTGACATGCACTAGCCTAGCACCAGCGACCTCTGCAAATACAAGGACTGGATGGATTATTTCAAAAAGTGTCTCCACACGTCTCCAACACTCTGGATCACTAGGAAATGAAGTCCTATGTCCAAAATTCCGAACTGTCCCTTTAAAATATTTCTCACCGGGGTGAAGACCAGGTTGTGGCGGAGGCAGGCATCCTGTAGCTCGCTGCGCAGGGCGGTCACATGACTCTGGTGGGCGGAGATTTCCTGCTCCAGCCAATCAGCTCTGGAGGAGAAGGTCTGAGACAGGAGGGCCACGCTGGTCAGCAAACTCTGGAAATGGGAACAGGAAATTTAAGGTTCTTTTGATCTGGTTTGTTTTTAGTCATTGTTTGTGGAATGTTGTGCATTGTGGAACTTTTTGGTTGGGGATCCGTCACCTTCTTGTTTCTATGGCGATGTCACTGCTCTGCGTGAAATGTTCTGCAGTATGACATTAAACAGCTCTACCTTACATTTATTCAATTACAGATGGTTTTATAGCTCAGAAATACACAGTAAACAGACATTCTGACTGTGAGCGGGGTCTCCTCTCCACAGATCTGACCTGTAACTTGGTTTGATTTGGTCTCCAAGAAAATAGAAAGGTTTAATGCCATACTGTGAAACATTCCCAATAAAGCAATAACATAATTTGACGGAAAAGTTACACAATGCACTTTTAATAACATAATATTCAACATCAAACATTACAGCAGTTCTTATTTCACATAGTCTAATGACAATATTTAGAAACATAGTTTTGTCTTCCTACCTGACAGGCCGCTACACCTGGATCTCCCATGATGCTCTCTGTTCCGGTGGGTATCTCAGAAAATGTCAGGGGGTGGGGTTTAGAGCACAGAGGCCGATGTGATTGGACGAGACTTTCCCTGAACTGCAAAAAACAAAACAAAAATGATTAGTTTCCTCACTATGAATAAAAACATTCTGAAATGGGAAGGTGTATTTTTTACCTGTGTACAGCTCCTCTCTGCTGACCTCATCATCTCAATCAGCTGCTCCTTACGCCTATGAAAGAAAAAAGATGCAAAACAAGTTAAAGGTGCATTGTGTAACTTTTCTGGTGGAGGGTCCGTCAAATGGTTTTCTCGATAGAAATGTTATCGCTTTTGTCTGGAATGTTTCACAGTATGGCATTAAACGTTTCTATGTTCATGGAGATCAAACCAGATCAAGTTACAGGTCAGATCTGTGGAGAGGCGACCCTGCTCAGTCAGAATGCCTATTTTTCTGGGTATTTTTGAGCTATAAAATCTGCAATTGAATAAATGTAAAGTAGAGCTGTTTAATGTCACACTGTGGAACATTCCATTCACAGCAATGACATATCCATAGGAACAAGCAGGTGATGGAAGTTATAATGCCTGGTGGTCACATGACTGGAGCTCAGGCTGTGATTGGCTGCTGATATGAATTCATACTTGGTGTTGTTTTGTAGTTGGTCCTGCGTGTCACGAAGCCTCTCCTCCAGTTGCCGTTTCTCCTTTTGGACTACAGACAAGTGTTTACCCAGAATCCTCAGTGAGCGCTCTTTACGGGACACCTCACGACGGGCGTGTGAGAGGAGCTGAGAGGAGGAGGGAGTCACATGGTTAGAATGTTTTCATAGGTTTTTTGGAGCAGTTACTTTCCACAAGGAATGGAACAATATTCGACTTACCGTACTTTCCGCACTATAGTTTGCACTTAAAAGCCTTTAGTTTCATCAAAAAATGACTGCGTGCCTTATAATCCAGAGCACCTTATATATGAATTTATTGGGGTGTCTTTGTACGACTTTAGTAAACTACAAAACCGCTCCACTTGCAGCATTACGGCTCCCGTAGTCAGGAGCATCAGGAGTAATACATACTGTGATTCCTTTTAATATCAAAATGCACCTGTCAAGAGACACACTTATAACGCTCACTTTAAACTCAAGGCTGTTATAAAGTGAAAGTGTGAGCTGTGTGGAAGCAGTGGATGAGAGAAGGAGAACACACATTCACCAAGACAGAGAGACAGCGCCGAGCCACTTACACCACGATCTGTCAATGGATCGTGGACGCCTGGGCTAAGGATCAATATCAACTGTGGTCTGAGCTTTCACCAAGACCAGAATCATCACTGAACTGCCAGGGAACAGTAACCACACTGACTCGGATAATGACGAGAGGGATGTGGACGTGATGGACGCTGTAATCAAGCAACTGTTTGAACAATTATGACTTATTGTGAATACACTAACAATTTAGCGTCTCAGACAGTATTTTTTTTACGCGTTACAATTGAACAAAGTTGAGAGTTATTGTGAGTTTGACTGACTTATCTAACTGTTGTGTTTCGTTTAATGCACCTTATGTGAAAAAAGGTCAAAAATAGACCATTCAATGACAGTGCACCTTATAATCCAGAACCCTGTATAGTGCAGAAAATACGGTAATCTAGAATCTTCAACTCAATCTTTGCTCTTGTCATGAAGTAAGTGCACATTTTAAGGTTCTACATTATGCAAAACTGATTACTGTGAGCTTTAAGCCTGTTATAATGTTGTTACCTCCTCAAAATCAGACCTGGAGTTGTGTTTTGTTTCATTCACATGTTTGAGTAATCCTTCATTATCACTGTCTACATCTCCAAAGCTCAAAATGCTCTGTTCTACCTTGTGATGTCATGAAGCAGTAATTTTCAAGATAACTGCTACTTTTTACTTTTAGTTTGGGAAAGACTAACAATTCCATGACTGAAATCATCCAAATGATTCTACTGAAGGTGAATGGAGTTTAAAAACGCAGTTCCTGTATTACCACATGACATCACAAGGTGGAACAGAGTGTTTTCTGCAGGGTTTGTGTGTTAAACATGTGTGAATGAAACAAAAACAGCTCCAGGTCTGTATGTGACGAGGAAACAAGATTATAAGAGATGTAAAAAAAAAATTCTTTAATGATTGTGCAAAAGCAGTTTCACAGTGCCCCCTGACCTGTGCTGTGTGGTCATGTGCTTCCTGTGCTTTAGTCTTCTGAGTGTTGAGAGACTCCATGTTGTTTCTGAGTGTGTTAAGTTGTGAGTTCAGCTCCTTCATCAGCGCCTGTGTCTCCTGCTCCCGACACAGCGCCCCCTGGAGCTCAGAGCAGACTGCATCAAACTGCTCTGATGAGACCTGGACAAATAAGACACGTGGAAGGTTTTTCTAGACCACGTTTCAACCATACTCCCTACAACTGAACAACAACTCACCCTCATGTAACAGATAATACTCCCTACAACTGAACAACAACTCACCCTCATGTAACAGATAATACTCCCTACAACTGTACAACAACTCACCCTTATGTAACAGATAATACTCCCTACAACTGTACAACAACTCACCCTCATGTAACAGATAATACTCCCTACAACTGTACAACAACTCACCCTCATGTAACAGATAATACTCCCTACAACTGAACAACAACTCACCCTTATGTAACAGATAATACTCCCTACAACTGTACAACAACTCACCCTCATGTAACAGATAATACTCCCTACAACTGTACAACAACTCACCCTTATGTAACAGATAATACTCCCTACAACTGTACAACAACTCACCCTTATGTAACAGATAATACTCCCTACAACTGTACAACTCACCCTTATGTAACAGATAATACTCCCTACAACTGTACAACAACTCACCCTTATGTAACAGATAATACTCCCTACAACTGTACAACAACTCACCCTTATGTAACAGATAATACTCCCTACAACTGTACAACAACTCACCCTTATGTAACAGATAATACTCCCTACAACTGTACAACAACTCACCCTTATGTAACAGATAATACTCCCTACAACTGTACAACAACTCACCCTTATGTAACAGATAATACTCCCTACAACTGTACAACAACTCACCCTTATGTAACAGATAATACTCCCTACAACTGTACAACAACTCACCCTTATGTAACAGATAATACTCCCTACAACTGTAACAACAACTCACCCTTATGTAACAGATAATACTCCCTACAACTGTACAACAACTCACCTTATGTAACAGATAATACTCCCTACAACTGTAAAACAACTCACCCTTATGTAACAGATAATACTCCCTACAACTGTACAACTCACCCTTATGTAACAGATAATACTCCCTACAACTGTACAACAACTCACCCTTATGTAACAGATAATACTCCCTACAACTGTACAACAACTCAGCCTTATGTGACAGATAATACTCCCTACAACTGTACAACAACTCATCCTTATGTAACAGATAATACTCCTACAACTGTACAACAACTCACTCATGTAACAGATAATACTCCCTACAACTGTAACAACAACTCACCCTTATGTAACAGATAATACTCCCTACAACTGTACAACTCACCCTTATGTAACAGATAATACTCCCTACAACTGTACAACAACTCACCCTTATGTAACAGATAATACTCCCTACAACTGTACAACAACTCACCCTTATGTAACAGATAATACTCCCTACAACTGTACAACAACTCACCCTTATGTAACAGATAATACTCCCTACAACTGTACAACAACTCACCCTTATGTAACAGATAATACTCCCTACAACTGTACAACAACTCACCCTTATGTAACAGATAATACTCCCTACAACTGTACAACAACTCACCCTTATGTAACAGATAATACTCCCTACAACTGTACAACAACTCACCCTTATGTAACAGATAATACTCCCTACAACTGTACAACAACTCACCCTTATGTAACAGATAATACTCCCTACAACTGTACAACAACTCACCCTTATGTAACAGATAATACTCCCTACAACTGTACAACAACTCACCCTTATGTAACAGATAATACTCCCTACAACTGTACAACAACTCACCCTTATGTAACAGATAATACTCCCTACAACTGTACAACAACTCACCCTTATGTAACACTCGATACATTTGTATTACTTGTACATATACATTTTTATTTATACACAATTATATATGCCTTATTTGACACCTGTCTCTTGCTACTTTTGCTACTTATTTATTATTATTAACATTAATTTATTATTAACATTTATATTTTTACTTATACTGTGATGTGTGAGCTACTGTGTCCAAATATTTTCGCTTGTGGATCAATAAAGTTTCTCTAAGTTAGAACAGCATTGCATTCTAAATAATAAAAGTCTCCAGATCAAGTCACAATTCTCTTGAGAGGCGAGCAGCTAAAATCCTCTAACGGTTAAAATGTAAAACTAGTCACCATTTTGTTGGCTTCTTGCTCCCTCTTCTTCGCCGCTCGTCTCAGATTGTTCAGCTCTAGTCGTAAATTCCGCCTCTCCACTTCGGTCGAATGCAGTCGCTGGCTGAAATCCAGGAAGTGCTGCTGCAGACTGGATACTAGCTCCTGATTGGACGAAACCAGAGTAGAAATAAATTATGAAATTTGTTGTAATCTGGCTGTCGAGCTAACTAGTTATCCTATCAAACATTTTGTAAAATCTCTGTTTGCACTTAGTTCTAGGTCTGTACCCCAATACTTACTTTCATGTGAGGTTGCATTGTCGGCTGCCTCATTGGACAGTTGTGTTTACTCGTAACAGTCGCTGCATCTGATTGGTCGAGGAGGTGGTCCAGGAGGCGGGACAAACCGGACTGAACCGCTGACAGCACATTCTGGGGGGAGGAGCCTAAAGATAAGATATTTAAATTTTTCTTTTGGATATTTCATACCAAATAAAAATACTTTAATAATAGAGGAAAACATCTGCACTCAATCTGAATGTGAAAACCGTGGATAGGACCTTAAGGGCAGAGGGAAATAGTTTTACCGGAGAGCGCCCTCTGGAGGTCAGCCATGGAGGACAGCACCACAGTGGACAGGCCTTTGGAGCGGAGCCACTGAGTAAGACACATCTCTCGACTTTCTGTTCCTTCTACAGAAAAAGTACAACAATTTCATGTGAGCAGTTGATGACTTGCAGTATTTGTGGTATATAAAAAAAAAAATACAGCGTAAAATGGCAAGAATTATACATACTTTTGAATGGCAAAGTTTTTTTCTAACTGTTAAGACGATGACATTTTTGTTTTATCCTATTATCTGCGTTAATTAAAAGTTAGCGCACTATGTGTAAAATCCCTCAGTCATCCAAGTAGAATCTTGGCAAAAGGAGAAATTCAGTTTGTTGGTCGAATACATTTTGCAGCTCATCCAAGCTCCTTCTTCAGTTCTGGTCAAAATGCTGGTGGACACTGCCTTATATCTGTCTGCAGGAAGGAGCAAATTACACTGAAACTACTCTGAAACTAACACACCTACTTGTTTACAGGTTCTGTTAGTTAGCTAGGCCTACTGATGAACTTGCACTGAGTTTGGGGTCATATTAGCAGAATCATTCAATGCCATAATAGAGCTTTCAAACCTCTAGACCTGACCTGGCTATCCCTATTGCTTTCTTTGTTTGTTTTGATTTAGGTTTAAGGATGGAGTTGTAAATAGGATGGATGGATGGATGATGGATAGATAGATGGTGTGTGGGTCCTCCATTTCTGTTCAAAGATGGATTTTTTTTCCTAACATAGCTTCTTTAACTCCTCAGTCAAACCAATTCTTTTCTCTGGCTAAGATCTGTACCTCTCTGTCCTCAAATGAGTGGCCCAAGGCTTTTAGATGGAGATGTACAGCAGACTGAGGTCCACTGCTGCTCTCTCGTCTGTGTTGGTACATCCTCTTATGACATGGCCGTTTTGTTTCTCCAGTGTAGCGCTCACTGTGGTCTTCACAACACTGAATGGAGTAGACGAACACAGATGAGAGAGCCATAGTGGACCTCAGTCTGCCGTACATCTCCACCAGAAATTGAATTTCTCCTTTTGACACGGTAGTGCACTATGTAACATTTCTGGCAGGGGTTACCTGCTTATCCCGATGGAGATTCAGGGTTCCTACACTTTGCTTGAAATATTTTTTCAGGGCTTTACCAGGACATTTGTAGTAATGTTATCAACATGTGAGCCCAGTAATATCTCCACATTTGAATGGTACCTGTCAGTCTAGTGTTGCATTTCTAACACTGGAAAATAAGGGACACCTGTATATAACACCAAGTCCTGCCAACTAGGTAAGGTAAAAAGATGTAGGAGGGTTTGGGGTTTGTACATTTTGTACAAACTAGGTGTCATTTCCTGCATTTTGGTGGATTTTATCTAAAAAGAAAAAAGTGTGGAGTGTGGAGGTCTCAAGGACAAGTGGAGTGTGGAGGTTTCAAAGACAAAATTTACATTTTCCAGGATATCTTACCCTGTTTCTCATTTTACATGTCTGGAAAACAGCCTAGCTAAACAGACAATTATTTTCCAGGTTTTCCAGAATTTGTGATTATTGGATGTCACAGAATAATGGTATTAAACTTATTTATCTCTATGGAGACGAGCAAGTGACGTCACCAAGCCAAGTTATACAATGCAACATTAAATTAAGTTCAGAATATTTTTAGTGTGTTTATAGTTTATATCCAAATGACCTTTCAGATTTACATTTTGGTTCTTTAATATTTTTAATACTTTAATTTCAAGATGCATAATTTACCAGTGGAGTAAGAAATAACATACCATTTTGTCCTTCTTTTCTTGCTGTAGTCTCTCCACACAGTGACATACCCACAGCACTAGTTTCTCCCACTTGCACTCTGAACAGCACACAGCTTGTTTTTCCCAGCATGCACCACTTCCTCAGGGCCATCACCACGTTTAAGACCCGCCTCCACCTTCTCCGCGCTCTCTTCTTCTTCTGCTGCTGTGTGTCGTCCTCGTTGGCCTCCAGAGCTTCCACCAGTGACCTCACTTCCTGTTCCAGCGCATCATGTTCGGCCAAACGGCGACAGAGATACGCTTTCTGCTCTGAGAGACGCTGTAGACGAGTCTAAGGTCATGAACAATGTACAAAGAAGATAGAGATGGAAAGAAATGTTATTAGGGGAGTTAAAAAAAGACACAGTACATGATTTTAACTTTTGAGTATCGAAAAAACAGACACTAATTTATACTAAAACTAATATTGTCTGTTTTAGACAACACTAAATAGTAGTTATAAGTTGATCTCAGTCCAAAGTAGTGCAATTCCAGCTTCAGCCAGTGTTCTTGAGCAAGACACTTCACCAGATGTGCCTCCCGTGTGAGTGCAATCATATCTTTACCAAATATATTCAACCATAGATTTTTCCCAATTTAAGATACTGTCATATAAGTTGTACAGGGCAAACTAATATTACAAACTGAGTAACAAGTGTAGGACCTGTGTGTAACTGAGGGCCCCTCCCAGTAGAAGACACGCCCACTGGAACCTTCCTGATTGGTCACACAGAGACGAGAGGTCAGAGGTCAGCGAGGTCACATGATCCTGCAATGAACGGCAATCGGAACGGCTCGACTGCAAAACCAAAATAGCTTTGTAATTTAACTGGAATGTTATTAATATATGTTTCTGTCAGAAAAAATATGACATTGACCAAAACTATAATAATTAATAATAATAATAATAAATAATTACAGTTGACACAGCTCACACATCACAGTATAATACAATGACAAATAGAAAAACATATAAATGGTAATTCTAAATGAGTAGCAAAAATAGCAAGAGACAGGTGTCAAATAAGGCATAATTATATAAATGTATATGTACAAGTAAAAATTATATTTAAAGTAATAAAAAATATTTCTCAGTTATATTCAAGAAAGGAAAACAAAGCAAAGGTGATACGATGATTGAAAGTTTCAGTAGCTTGTGACTGTTACCTGCAGATGGTGCTGTAGCTCTGTCACTGTGTTTTGGTGTTTGCGGCTCAGATCAGCCTCTCGTCTCCTCACTTTGTCCTCCAGACGAGAGAGGACGCTCTGCAGAGAGGACACCTGGACCAGAACAGAGAGACAGGGTCAGTAATGGAGACATTTGTCACAGTGAGAGACAGGAGGACACTGGACAAACCGGTCTCCATCATGGACACTCCTTAAGATGGAAAAATCAACTATGGAAACCTGAAACCCCGAATTTAGTAAAGCCCTGGCCAGAACCCTGCGGAGGTGATACGGCGCTCGGGCTCATAACAGAGTCCAGTGGCCAGACGAGTTCTTCTGGACGTCCCTCTGTGCTACAGTGGCTCAGAAGATGGACCACGGAGAAACTAGGACTCCACAGAAGGAAAAGGCGAGGAGACCAAAAAGACCTCAGACCACACCAGACCAAAAATCAGAAGGTCTGATCATGTCTGTCCTGGTTTCATTCCGGGCTGGATCTGGTTTACTGGGTTAAGTCCTATGCTAAACCTATTTTAGGCCTGGTTAGGCCGGGGTTAATCCTACCCTAGACTGGGTTTAGGCCTGGTCCTACACCAGACCTAGTTTAGGCCGGGTTTAGATCTAGGCTAGATCTGATTTAGGCTGGGTTTAGTTTTAGGCTAGACCTGGTTTAGGCCTGGTTTCGTCTGTGAATTAATTTAAAAAAAAAAAGTTGTAGTATGGGTGCAGGTGTTAACTTAATAAAAATAAAATAATAAACTAAAAATGTAATGGAGATAGATCCATACAATGCCATATTGTGGAACATTTCAGGTTGCCTGATTTGTGGTGCCTGTATAGTCATTTGACCAAAACACAGTTAAAATTATTATATTTTAAGAAAAGATTACTACTACTATTATTTTTATACAAGACTTGAACTTTACAGGGAGATTTAGTTCATTCTTGATGCATTGCTAAAATGTCATCTGCATATCATTATTGACAAAGAAATGCTGAGTTAATAATTTATTCACCTGCCACATCTCACTTTTCAACTACAGTAATATAAAAGGATGGGAGAGCGTCTGAAGACATTTCTGACCTGGTGCTTGGCCTGGTGGAAGTCTGCGTTGATCTCCTCCACTCGATCGTTGACTCGTATCCACAGTTCATCCCAGGAGAGAGTTTCCATGATGCTTTGAGGCTGTAGACGCTGAAGGAGTGAGTGCAGTGAAGACACACGAGCCTGGTGAACACATTATAGGCAAGAGTCATAAAGGTTCATTTCTGTCCTATCTCTCTGACAACCACCAATTAGGAAAGCAACAAAAAGCCTTGAAAATAAGTCCACAAATATTGACCCTCTCTGCTGGATACAATGGCGTCTGCGTCACAGTGGAGAGAGAGGGGATAATGTATTTTGCTCAAACCCACCACAGTGTGATTAAATGTAAAGTAATGTAATAACAGGGCTCATACTGGGACTGCATCAAGGTGCTGAGGGAATGAGGACAAGGAAAGGACAACACAGCACCAGGTATGTCACAATTTAAATAATGTATTATAAATATAGTGTGGTCAAAAGTATCGAAAATCAGATACTAATCGATACTAGAAACTCATTTGAGAAGGTATCAATGCTAGAAAAAAAAGTCACATTCACAGGACAGAAGTGAACCTTTCCTGAACATCTTTAGAATGATCTTGAGCTGTATCAGTGTCGGCGTGTTCGCAGTGACACAGTTGTTCAGTCGTGTCTAGAAGTTGCACATTGCACTCGCTTTTTCAGTTCATTCCTCCGTTCTGTTCCTCGTCGGCGTGGAGTGATGAGTGTGTCTGTGGGTGTTTTTCGCTGTGCGGTCGCTGTCTGCTCTGTGCGTCTTTGCGTACTCTGCACTCTGGGACACCCGAGTGGATTCGTGTATAGGGCGCTCTGGATTGTGGGGCGCGCAGTCATTTTTTTAAGGGGTTTGAGGCTTAAGAGCGCACCCAATATCCCAGAAAAAACGGTAATATTATCATGTGGCCTTGTATCTGTGAGTTCCATAGTGGTCCATGGGCGTATACTAAACAAAGTATTATAATTTAATGTTGAAAATTACATTCTGCTGTTTTGTACTGTGACAACAATTTGGGAAATATTGAATTTTTCAGACTAGCATTGATTAGAATTGAGATTTCTGTTGTCCATGTCCAGGAGAATTGACAAAAAGACTGAAATATGAACTGATAAACACAAGAATCACATTCTAGGACTTGTTTACAGATCTTAAATGTAAGAGAATTTAAGTAATTTATCTTTCACGTACATCTCAGTTTAACATTGACACAAAAGTTATATTTACACCATGATCTTCCCTTGATAGACCATTGGCATACCACTATCTAAATTGTGGTATATTGCTGACTAACCGGTGTCTACTGGCCTTCATAGTCTCACCACTTGCTTTATAAACCTCCTCCTCCAGAAGCAGAGTCAAAGGGGCTTGAACACTCAAAGATCAGACTATGTTCTCTTTTGAAATCACACTATGTTGACTTTTCAAGTTCTCGTATTATTGATGGTAAATAAACTTCTCCTGCGTAAGACATCCACTTGGTCTCCAGGCTTTTACTTCCACCCTTTCTTGGATAAGCTGAAAACTTTGACAACATTAAGGTGCACTATGTAACTTTTTGTTTGGGGGTCCATCACCTGCTTGTTTCATTGCTCTGCTTGGAATATTCTACAGAATGATTTTAAACAGCTCTACTTCACATTTATTCAACAGGTGGTTTAAAGCTCAAAAATACCATGTGATTGGGGTTGCCTCTCCATTGATCTGACACGTAACTCTGGTTTGGTCTCTTTGACGATAGAAAGGTTTAATACCATACTGTGAAACATTCCAGACAAAGCAATAACAGCTCCATGGAGAAAAAAATCTGACGGACCCTCCACCAGACAAGTTACACAATGCATCTTTACCTACAGGGTAAGCGGATTTTTTGCAAAATAAAACAAATTTTGTTGTGTGTCAAGGAAATTATGATACTTCAAAAACTGCAGCCTTTCAAATTTGCTAATTGCGTTCATTCAAATTTCGATTTGACTGTGATAAATCTTGCAGCCCTAAACACACAAACACAGACCTCTTCCTGTTCGTGTTGGTGCAGTTTCACGCCATGCAGTTGTTCCTCCATTTTGTCTCGCTCTCGTTTCCTCTCGTCTCGTTCTCGCTGAAGCTCGGCCTGAAGCTGTCGGCTCACGTTCGCCCAATCACAGCCTTCCGTCTGCAGGCGGGACACTTCCTGCTTCAGCTCCTCTAACAACTGCTCAGACTCCTGTAAAAACAAAACAAAAAACATATGAAGAGTAGATTCTGCAAACATGGAAACTAGTTTTATTACAATTACTGTAACAATTATAAATCTGCTGTTTGGGGCTATAGAAATTCTTCGTATAAAGACTAAAAAGGAGGCGTGGTAAAAGCTCTCAAAACTATTCCATATCTGTGTGTATCTGACCCAAACTGTACTCACAAGACTACCGTATTTTCCACACTATAGATCACTCTGGATTATAAGGCGCACTGTCACTGAATGGTCTATTTTGGAACTTTTTTCACATATAAACTACACCAGACTATAAGGCGCATTAAATGAAACACAACAGTTAGATAAGTCAGTCAAACTTTATTTAACGCGTTCACAATAACTCTCAACTTTGTTCAATTGTAACGCATAAAAAAATACTGTCTGAGATGCTAAATTGTTAGTGTATTCACAATAACTCATAATTGTGAGAAGAATCCCTCAGTTGTCCAGGTAGAATCCATGAGGAGAAAATTCAGTTTGTCGACTGGACAAAAGTTAGTTTGGTTGAAGACGTTTCGCAGCTCATCCAAGCTGCTTCTCAAGAAGCAGCTTGGATGAGCTCCTTCCTTCGTTCCTGTTCTCCTTCTCTCATCCACTGCTCCCACGCAGCTCGCACTTTCACTTTATAACAGTCTTGAGTTTAAAGTGGGCGTTGTGAGTGTGTCTCTTGACAGGTGCATTTTAATATTAAAAGGAATCACAGTATGTATTACTCCTGATGCTCCTGACTACAGGAGCCGTAATGCTGAAAGTGGAGCGGCTTTGTAGTTTACTAAAGTCGTACTAAGACACCCCAATAAATTCATATATAAGGTGCTCTGGGTTATAAGGTGCGCAGTGGTTTTTTGATGAAATTAAAGGCTTTTAAGTGCACCCTTTAGTGTGGAAAATACAGTACCCCTGCAGAGGGAGCTCATGCAAAAACTACTATTTATGCAGAAAAAAGTAAAGGAAAAGTAGCATACAATGTATTCATATAAAGACTTGAAACTTATGAGTGTGCCTTTTTATACACAAAGAGCAAAAAATACAAAATCTTCAGCTCACTTCTCCGGTCTACAGTTGTCCCATATGAATCATTATTATCTAAATAAAATAATCAGTCACATTTATACCACTAATTTTGGCTGACTAAGACTTGATTGACTCATTAATCGACTAGATGACTTAAGGCCTATTGCTCTAGTGCTGTTACTACTAAAGTATGGAATAGCCTAAACTAAAACAACTGCTATTTATGCAATTTATTTATTTATTTATTTACTTACATACTACCCTCCCCCTGGAACTCACTCCCCTCATTACATCATTTTTAAACAAAAGCATTAAACCTAAAATAATCACTACCTTCAAGTCTTTTTAAGTTTAGTATTAGAGTTCAAATATTGTACTCATATTTAGCTCCAATAATACTACTACAACTATTACTACTACTACTCCATTCTGATGCCAGTGAAATGTACCTGTATTTGAGTCTTCTGTTGTGAGCTCAGGTTTTTCAGCGCCTGATTATCGTCCAGGAGCTGCTCAGAGGCGAACAGCAAATCCTCGATCTGAAAAAAGAACGATACACCCTCTAGTGGCCGTCCGGTACACAACTTCAGGAGCAAAAATTCACACAAGGTTTAAAGTGGAAACAAACAAAATCGACTTTGTTCTTTGCTAAAAGATGTATATGGTTGATGTGGCTGGAGTTTGCATGTTTAGTCCCACAGTATGAGGTGAAATAAGTAACTTTTAATAATTCTTAACATTTTTGTAATGGTTTGGGTGAGTGTATATGTTGAGTATAAAATAAATATTGATATCAGGGCAAAAAAACTAAAAGTGTACAGAGTAAACATCTTAGCTCCAGACCTGTTTCTTGGCCTCCTCTTGTCTCAGTTTCTGGGAGTGTAGCATTATTTTCAGCTTCTCCACCATCTCATCAGGATTCCAGTTTCCAGAATCCTCTTCTGCAGATACAACACAGAGTCATATGAAATGTAAAATAATGTAGGGTTAATGCTAAACTGGAAATAAAATGTGATTATATTTAAGAGAGATTTAGGTGGATAATTACCTAAATGTTGCTGTAGTGTTTCTTTTACATCTTGTACAAACGTTTTAAAGCTGTTTGCATTCTCTGTCAACTAAAAAGGAAAAAAAAAAGCACATCCATTATTTTATTATTTATTTTAAACTATTGTAATAACTTTGGATTGGGAGCACAGAACATAGCCAGATAGAAGAAGAGGGCCAAAGAGGAGATTTAAGGATGTATTGTTTTGTTATAAACCTTCTGTAGCTGTGATGCTGTGCTTTCTTGCAGTCTCCTTTCGTCTTCAAGTTGCTCCTTAAGGCACGATGTCATATGTTTCTCTGCTTCCAGGGCAACGTTGAGCTCAGAGGCCGACCGTTTTTCAGTCTCCAAAGCAGTTATCAGGTCAGATTTGCACTGTTCAAACTCAAGCTGCATCCTGGGAAAAAAATAATAAAATTAAATTAACTTATCTGAGGTGTAGCACTGTAATGTCTGAGTGTTCAACTCCAGGCAAATGAAGCTCATTGTGGCTAGCAGTTATAAGTGTAAATTAGTAGGTGATTTGTCTGTTATTAATGTTCATATCTTAATGTACAGACAAAATAGTGAAATAAAAACACCAGGATCATGTACAGCAGGTTAATATGAACATTTTAAGACCAAAATGACAAGCCTGACAGCAAGTTACAGAGAGATGTTTTCAATAGAAAGTGAATAGGAGCCAGTCTATGGAGCCAGAACTGGTCATGCTCACTTCATATTTGGAAGGCAGCAGCTAGCAGGTTAGCTCTGTCCATTGATATATACAGTCTCTGGTACAGAGACACTTCACCTGTACATATATGTGTGTATTATTGACCTGTGCAGTTGAGCGAGCGTCTGGCTGCTCCTCTGCTGCTCCTGCTCCCTCTTTTTCTCTGCCTCATGGATGTGTTCTTTCAGTTGTTCCACGCTGCACGTCGCCTCCTGCAGGTTGGACTGCTCCACTGCTAAAACCGCCTCCAGGTCCCTCAAACGCAACTGAAGAAAAAATTTATCTATACGTAAATCCCTCTTAGTGAATCACTTTGAAAGTGACATTTTACTTGTGTAGTCCTGTTTAGACCTGTGCCTCAGGCCCTAGTTTTACTCCTGGTTTACCTGGACAATCTCAGAGTTGAACTTGGATTCCAGGTGAGCAGCTCTTTCAGCCTCGATGTTTGTCTCCAAAGTCTTAATCCTCTGCTCCGCAAACTGTCCACACAAAGAAAAGTGTGTCTGAAATCAAAGTCCTTACAAACATTTTCAATAAGAAAACCTGCAAATATTTGTCACCCCCTGCTGGCAACAGAGGGGATTACATGCAGCCTCATAGCATAACTGCATATGAAACTTTGCCAAATTGACGGCTGATAGGAATGAATGATTTTACACCATAATACAACAAAAACACTCAAACAAACTACTTAAGACATTTTCCATTAAAAAATGTTAAAATGTTGCTAATATGGCAAAGAAATTCAATTTGTCAAGTGGACAAATGTTTATTTGGTTGGTTTATTCAACCTAATAAACTTTTGTCCAGTTAACAAATTGAATTTCTCCTTTTACCTTGTCTAAAGTTATTCAGTTGCGACTCCACAGTGACTCAAGTTGCAACTAAATCCAAATGTTAAAAAGAAAGTGGACATCTTTATAATTATTTTGTGTAAATATTTAATTGAAGCCATTTACCTCCTTGTCGGCCCGGAGACGTTTCTCTCGGTCGCTGAGGTAACGCACTTTCTCGGCATGACGACGCTTCACCTCCTGCTCCTTCTCCATCTCCTTCTGCAGCTCCTTCATCCTCTGCTCGCTTTGCTCCAACACCTGCTTCTGATCCTGAACAACAGCCAAAATATTGATAAGGTAATTGGTAGTTTTCAGATTCTAGAATACGGCTATGTCCTACTCCCAGATGCAAGAGCCAGGTTCTCCTATAGATGACATTGTACTTTGCCATGAAATATCCAAAGGGTAAACTCACAAATGTTGAACCTGGTACTTTCAATTAGTGACTAAACTCTAGAACTCACTGTACTATAACATAATTTTACATTTTAAGAATTTGCATTTTATCTGCCCCCCCCAAATGTATTAATTAATATTGTCCTATAGAATCCTGTGTTGTCTTCTGAAACCCAGCAATAATATACAACAATTTCATTTACAATTATGATTCAATAATACTTTAAGTTTATCAACATGTATTTGATTTTTTTATCTCTTTAAGCTGGGGTGGAGTGAAGATAACCTCGATACACCAAAGCAACATTCTTTATAGTAGAGGAGTTTCATTGCTTTTTAAACATAAAATAAATAAAAACTGACATTGTATTGGATCAATATTGAGATTACTTTAAACCAGACAAAACTAGAGCAAAAGAAGGACTTAAGTATCACTAAACAAGGACCTAACCAACATCAGCCAAGTCTAAACAGGAATGAGTAATGGGCAAATGGGCAGAACATGAACTAAACTGAGTATTAAAGCCAACAATCAAAGTAGGACAAAACTGTGACCTAAATGAGAGAGCGCTGATACCGTGAGCAGTGTGTGGAGTTGACTGTTGTCTTGACTCAGTCTCTGTATGAGCCCGTCTCGTTCCTCCACGTCCTGCTGCAGACTCCTCTGGTCCTGCTCCCGACCGCGCAGAGTCCGGTCCAGAGCCACGCGCAGGTCTGACAGGCTCTGCTCCAACTCAGCCTGACGATCTGAGAGAGAGACAGATTTAAAGGTCCTATATTACACAAAATGGATTCTTGAGTAGTTCAAGCATGTTATACTGTTGTTTCCTCATCAAAACATACCTGGAGTTGTACTTCGTTTCATTCCCATATGTTTGAGTAACCCTTTATTATTAGCCTGTCTACCTGTCCAAAACTCAAAATGCTCTGTTCCACCTTGTGATGTCATGAAATGGTAATTTTCAAGTTAACCTCTCCTTTTACCTTTAGTTCAGTAGTGACTGACAGTGAATGTGTATGAGAGAAGAAGTCAGTGCAGGGTTTGTGTGTTAAACATGTGTGAATGAAACAAAACACAACTCCAGGTCTGTTTTGATGAGGAAACACTATTATAACATAGCTCAGGAAAATGCGTAATACGGAATCTTTAAAGTGGTAATAATAGGTTATCTCTTTTTTTGCAGTGAACATGGTGCTCTAGTGGCATTCTTGACAATTCCTTGTATTTTTAAAGCACTTTTATTTATTTAATTTTCAGATTTGTGGTTTAAAACTGAGCGTGTATTTCCTCCAGGGACCACTGCATTTCAAGAAGCGTGTAATTTAGCTAATAGTAAGTACAATTATTCGCAATTACGGTTATAAAATGTAATATACTGTGATGTGAAGCTGGTGGATAATAGTTTAATAAAATGTTTAGTTTATCAGTAAATAAAGTGAACATAATAAGTTGTGTTCATGTTCAGAACATTGTAGACTCTTTACAGTTTGAGGACTTTTTCCATTCAAAACATATATTTTATACATATATATTACTTAAATTGTTAATCATTATAGCCTGGGTCCTCATTCTTTATTATTCTGAAACCAAAAGACAGACCCGACCCCTCCATCATTAAAATACCTGTGAGTGTGTCCCTCTCTCTCTGTAGGTCTCTGTTGGTCTGAGCCTCTTTCTCTTTTTCTCGGAGACAAACTGTGATCTGAAACTGAAGCTCCGCCCTCTCGGCTTCACCGCGCTCCACTGCCGCACGCAACCGGGCCAGCTCCGCTTCCAGAGAGCACACCTGCAAAACACCACGTCAGAACAGTAATGTATGTGATTGATCAAATTTCAATCACAATTATTGCTCTAATTGATTATTTTGTCTTTCCTGGTGCCTCACCTCTCTCTGCAAATAATCGTTTGAATAATTGTGATTTCAGTCATGATTAAAAAATAATTTCCCTTCTTAATCAATTAAAAAATGGACCAGTCTTACATATACTGATCCATGTGATCCCTGACTGTACCTGCTGGTTGTGTGCAGATGTCAACTGTAGTTTCTCATTTTCCAGACGGTTCATTCTCCACCTCAGCTCTCTGAAGACATCCTCCTCTGCTTCTCCTTTTAAACCCCCTCTCTTCTCTTTTGTTTTCCTTTCTTCTGTGTTACTGTCCCTTTTCATCTCTCCATTCTGCTTGTCTGAGCCGCATCGGGACAATAAAACCTCCTTCAGTCTGTGGAAAAGTTATTAGCAAAAAGTGCAAACATCAAAATCAAATTCTGCATCCAAAATCTTTGACTAAGATTAAAAAGTGGTTGCTTTGTGTGATACAAGAAGTGCTCCACAGTGTTTTTAAGAATACTGGCTCGAGCATCCCCCAGCTTGAAAGGGCCAGTTTGAGCGTCCCATTCTCTCTTTGGGCGTCCCCTCCTCTTTGGCGGCACACGGGTCCCTGCTGTGAGAGGAGAGACGTTCTCACCTGCCTCTAGTATGTGATTTATTGAGTTAGAAAATCAGCATTCTATATCATAATAAAATCAAATGTTGAGACCAAATGTTGGGCCTTGTTTTCTTTTTCTTTTTTCATGTTCCCCATGTTCTGTAGCATCTGCAACTGCAGACTTGGTTAGAAATATGAATTATTTCTTTACCTGCTTATGTTGAAGATAATTTGTAAGCAGCGCAACAAAAGAAACTTAAAAAGCTACAGAAATTGTTCAAAAATCATTCAGAATCACATTTAGGAAGGTCTTAACTATGTATTTCAATGAAATGCATCGATTAGACAAGATAAATAGAAGATAAAATCCTGAAATATTTGTGGCATATTTATTGAGAACACAGGAGTTTCTGAGTGTGCCTCACCAGTGGACTAATTCCTTGTATGTGTATTTTTTATTTTTTTTTATGTGTATGTTTATAGATTAACTAACTTTTATATAGGGTACAATTCATAAACAGGGACTTTCCAGCTGATTATCGTATTTAAACTCCATATACTTTCACTAGAATCATTTGGATATTTTCAGTCCTGGAATTGCCAATCTCTACTGAATTAAAAGGTAAAAGGAGCTATTAAAACTGAAAACTACTGCTTCATGACATCACAAGGTGGAACAGAGCATTTTGAACTTTGAAGATGTACACAGACTGATAAATAAAGGGTTACTCAAACATGTGAACGAAACAAAACACAACTCCAAGTACAGAGGGACTGAGGGATTTTTAGAAACATCTTAACTCCAGGTACATTTTGTAATATGGCACTTTTAACAATTGACATTTTAAATTTTACCAGATCTTGGCACAAGACAAAACCATAGGGGAAAAGAAGGACTCAAGTAAAGTTCTCACAAAACAAAGACTAACCAACATGAGTCTAGTCTAAACAGGACTGAGAATGATAGAAAATAGGACGAACATGGGCCAAATCAGGTATTAAACCAATCAAACTAGGATTTCACAGTAGTAACACGATCTGTGTACATCAGAAACGAAAACTCCAGCAGCTACGTATCAGGCTGTGAAGAAAACGCTTACCTCGTCACTTCTCCTGAGCTCTTGGATCTCTGCTCTGTCCCCCGGGGCTGCGTGCTGCTCCTCCCGCTTTCAGTGCGCCTCCCTCGGCCACATTCCCTCCCACGTCCCGCTGCTTCGCCTGGCATCTCCTGGGACGTCCTTAACCCTAAAAAAAAACCAAAAAAAAAAACAAACGCTCACTTGGAATTCATTTGTCAAGGCACTCCAGTAAATACAGACAAACGTTAAGATGCTGCCATTTCTTTTAGCTTACACTGGTATCAAGGGAGTTTGTTGCTTAGAATCGTCAAACTATCAACAAAACACAACCATCACGGCGTGTATTTTCAACCTAAATCCTGAGACATTTCTAGGAATCTTTATTTAGCTTTACAACACGTTTTATTGCTTAGAAACAGCGAAAAATGTCAAGATTTCCAACATTATTAACTGAGATTAACTAACTTAGTGCAGCAGGAAAGAACGCACGCACGCACACTTCCGACGTAAACATTGCACTTTTCGCCTACGTAAAAGCTTTAAAACACTTCATTTATGCGTCTTTTAAGATGTCGAAGCGTGTACGTGTCGTCTTACGTTAAAAACTCAACAAAACACTGTTAAAATCGGTAAAGTTGGAGTAAAAACTTACAGTAGGAGAAGCTAGGCACAATCCGTTTGAAACAGACGCCATCTTTAGCGTCCCTGCGTCACTTCCGTAGCAACTGTCTCCCGGGAAAAAAAGAGGATAGCGCCCTCTAGAATTTTAAGTATTTATTCTTACCTTAAATTTTACCTGTTGTGACATTTACAGATTTTTATTTGTGCTACTTTTGTATTTTCCATTCAGATCATAATATTTGACACATATTTTGTTTACTATATTTTTTATTTTATTTAAATCCATCCACCCATTTTCTTACACTTATCTAGGCCAGGTCACAAGGGCAGCAGTTTAGAAGGGACTCCAAAACTTCCCCTCACCCCAGACACTTCCTCTAGCTCCTCCGACGGGACCCCGAGGTGTTCCCAGGCCTGCCCAGAGACACATAGTCCCTACGGCGTGTCCTGGATCTTCCCCGGGGCCTCCCCCTGCTGGGACAATTCCCGGGAGAAATCCAGGAGGCATCAGGAGCAGGTGCCCTCCCCTCAGCTGCTCCTCTCGGTGTGGAGGAGCAGCGACTCTACTCCGACCTCCTCAAGTGTACCGTATTATCTGCACTATAGGGCGCTCTGGATTATAAGGAGCACTGTCACTGAATGGTCTATTTTCAAACTTTTTTCACATATAAACCGCACCGGAAAAACATCTGGGTAGTAGATTTTGCAAACATGGAAACTAGTTCTATTACAATTATACAGTAACTCTGCGGTTTGGGGCTATAGAAATTCTTGGTCAACTAAAGACTAAAAGGAAGCGTGGCAAAAGCTCTCTATCTGTGTGTATCTGACCCAAACTGCACTCACAAGATTACCGTATTTTCTGCACTATAGGTCACTCTGGATTATAAAGCGCACTGTCATTGAATGGTCTATTTTCACAAATTTTTCACAAATAAACCGCACCGGACTATAAGGCGCATTAAACGAAACACAACAGTTAGATAAGTCAGTCAAACTTTATTTAACGCATTCACAATAACTCTCAACTTTGTTCAATTGTAACGTGTAAAAAAAATACTGTCTGAGACGCTAAATTGTCCGTGTATTCACAATAACTCATAATTGTTCAAACAGTTGGGCGATTACGGCGTCCAGCACGTCCACATCCCTCTCGTCATTATCCGAGTCAGTGTGGTTACTGTTCCCTGGCAGTTCAGTGATGATTCTGGTCTTGGTGAAAGCTCGGACCACAGTTGATACTGATCCTTAGTCCAGGCGTCCACGATCCATTGGCAGATCTTGGCGTAATGTAACAGTTAGTATTACATTTATATTACTATTGATACTGTAATATCTGATTGCGCCATCTGGTGGCGCCCTTTTATTTTTATTATACTGTAAGGTCACAGGTCACTCGCTTGTTGCAACGCTGTGCGATGGACACACACCTCTGTGCTCTACAACTCAAGTAATGTGTGGTAATGTTATTAAACGGACTAATTTCTATTTCATGTATGATTCAGACTTACCGCTGTGGCATCGTACGGTTTCTAAATGTGTAATAAATCAAGTATCAGTGGAAATCATCAAGTCTTTTCTCAGCTATCCCAAAGCACATGTTAAGGGCTATAACTAACGCTCTCCGCCGGACCCCTACCACATGTTACAGTAAGTCGCTCGGCGCTGTCCCCCTGTCTTGGTGAATGTGTGTTCTCCTTCTCTCATCCACAGCTCCCACTTCCACTTTATAACAGCCTTGAGTTTAAAGTGGGCGTTGTAAGTGTGTCTCTTGACAGGTGCATTTTGATATTAAAAGGAATCACAGTATGTATTACTCCTGATGCTCCTGACTACAGGAGCCGTAATGCTGCAAGTGGAGCAGCTTTGTAGTTTACTAAAGTCGTACTAAGACACCCCAATAAATTCATATATAAAGGTCGTTTTTTGAAGAAATTAAAGGCATTTAAGTGTGTCCTATAGTGCGGGAAATACGGTAACTGAACTCCTCACCGTATCTTTAAGGAAGCACCCAGTCACTCTGTAGACGAAACTCATTTCAAACACTTTAGACTGCTTGTATCCACGATGTTGTACTTTCGGTCATTACACAAGGAGATCAAAAATATATAAGTGTTATTTTCATGGCAAAGAAAACCGTATCACTCCCTTCAGTGCGCTGTGTGTTTTGATACTGCCATTTTGAAACCTCCCAAACCTTCTCCCAGACCTGTTTCCTCATTAAACTTCTCCCTTTTGGTTGTTTTTGTCATTTGTCACCTGGATGTTCGTCTGAATTTTACATGAAACTAAACTTTTGCTTAAATGTGTCACTTCAGGGCCCACTTATTTTACTTGGAGCGCGGTGCATTCGTGTGTGGCTCTGAATTTAGGCCTCATTTGTATGTTTTTTCGACCCCCATTCTGCCACGATGCGTTCAGGGTCCCCCGCTCCTCTCCGCCCCTCAGAAAAATCTGTGCCGCAGCGGTTCTTTCTTTGTAGCGCATCCAAATGTTGTGTTTTTTCTGCTTTTGTCGTCAGGTTGAACTAGGACGTGAGGCAGGAGCTTCTGTGAATATTCATAAGGGACCGCCACAAAGCAAAAGCAGGGCGAAACGGAACTAATTCACTTCAGGACTAATGTTTTGATGTAAAGGACCTATATTGCGCAAAACTCTTGTGAGCTTTTAACCATGTTATAATGTCGTTACCTCCTCAAAAACAGACCTGGAGATATACTATGTTTCATTCACACACGTTTGAGCAATCCTTTTTTTTTAGTTTAGTTGAGTTTATAGTTCGTCTACATCTCCAAAACTCAAAATGCTCTGTTCCACCCTGTGATGTCATTTTTTTTTTGAGAGAAGAACTCAGCTTAAATGTACATGATTTGTGTGTTAAATATGTGTGAATGAAACAAAACACAACCCCACGTCTGTTTGTGATGAGGAAACAACATTATAACATGGATCAAACTCAAAAATTCTGCCTCAATTAATTTAAGCTGAATAACTTAAAAGTCACAATCTTCCACAACTTAAAAGATCAGATGACTTGCTACTTGTACCTTTTGTTAACTGCTGAATTCAAAGTGTTCATTCAGCTCAACTCAAATATTTGCAATTAGAGTTTTCAAAGCACTGGAACCATTTAATGAATTTAACTTCAGTTTTATATGTAATCCATTATTTTTGTACACACTCCAGTATAGTATATATACACATCATAGTATACACACAATATAGACACTGTAGGACAGGGGAGTCAAACTCATTTTGGTCCGGGGGCCGTATCCAACCTACTTTGATCCCAAAAAGGGCCGGATCAGAAAACTCATGTCATATAAACCCCAAAACTAACAATAAGTTCATATATTTGTGCAGAGAAATGCAAATCTATTACAGAAATCTTTTAAATTGATAAACTCTTTATTTTACAAAATATTGTAATATTATGAACAACCTGAAACTTTAAGAAAAATGCAATTTCAACACAATGTTTTAACATGAACTTGTATGGAAATAGGAATAAGTCAATTTTTCTTGTAAAATCCTGCACTCGGCTCCACTTTTCTCATGTTGGACATTTTTCTGATGAGGGTGTCACGGTCAACAGTCAAAACGATCGTCCTTTAAGAGCGTTTGGAAAGAGACAAGTTTTCATTTGTGCTGCTCTGGTGGGAGGGGCCACGTACAGAGACACTGGAGGTGCTGCTCTGCTCAGCGGCACAGAAAATGACCAATATTTTAATAGAAAATATCATTAAAATATTTTAGTAGAAAATCAGCTGAATGCCAGATTAAAGGTCTTGGAGGGCCGGATCCGGCCCCCGGGCCGCATGTTTGACGCCTCTGCTGTAGGAGGATGTGAAAGTCAGGAAATTTACCAGTTGAGCTCCCAGCTGACTGCAATCCACACACAGACAATTATACACATTATAGTACACATATATCATATTATTAACACATGATATTACACACATACACATTATACATATTTTAGATTATACACACCCTAGGAGAGGGATTTAAACCCAGGTTCCCCACACGAAAGTCGGGGGATTTGCTAATCTAATCAATATTATAGAATATGTACATAGTTTAATAATACATTCACACATACATGACACATTATAGTACACACATAGTACATTATACACTGTTACGACCCAGCTCTGCGAGAGACAGGGAAGTAACAAAAATAAAACCAAGATATAAAATGGAATAAATTAAATTACTAACTAAACTAGACACACACAAATGCAAACACAACATGGCAGACTGGCCACCAAGACCAGCAGCCCTGATCACTTGCTGGTAAACTTCTTAAATAGGGGGCGGTGGCTGCAGGTGAGGTGGGTGTAGACATGCCCCACCAATCACAAGCCAGGGCTCCCGCAGCAGGAATCAAGGTGTGTCAGCAAAATTATTAAAAACACACAAAACAAATTACAACTGCAGGTCTGGGGTTGTAACAACACACATTACATATTATTTTTAAATACTTAAGTCTACTAAGTTGTACTTCATCTGTGTTTTTAAATTACGCTCACTTATACCCACAACAGATCCCTTTAATAAAAAAAAAAATATATATATATATATATATATATATATATATATATATATATATATATATATATATACACACACACAAACACACACGCACGTGCACAAATATAGTTAAAATTACTCAAAAGGAAGAATATGTGACATATAATATGACAAGATTGTGGATACAAGCGCTCGAAATGAGTTTCCTCCGCAGGGTGGCTGGGCGCTCCCTTAGAGATAGGGTG